ACCGGTGCATCACGTAGCTGATTCGATCTTCTCCTCGTGTCATTGCTTATGGTATTTTTGACTCGAGTCTATCATCATCTCTATGGTGATCAGGTGGTTTCATTGCTGGTGTCCCACCTGCGGGCTTCGTCTCGGCGGCAGTATGAAGTCTCTTGGCGGTCCTTCCGTTTCTTTCTTTCACTTCATAGGTATACTTCTCTGTTGGTTAAGGTTGTCTTGTCCTTTCTTTCTTGGTTGTTCCAGGATCATTGTCTTATGCCGAATACTGTCGCCTCCTATCGTGCGGTGCTGACGGAGCTGTTGCAGCTTGCTTTCGGTACAGATGCTGTACTTCTGCGCCATATCACAAGTTGTCTTGTGCGTTGTTTCACCTCCGGCCTGCTCATGCGCCGCTTGAGCTGTCCTGGTCGCTTGACAAAGTGCTCTCTTATCTCTCTTCTACTCAATTTTTAGTGGCCCCTTCGGTTCAGGACTGTTTCTCTAAGGCTCTTTTCTTGTTGGCATTGGCCTCTGGGGGTCGGGTCAAGAAGCTTCATGCTCTCCTCTGGCGCAGGGGTTTCTGCTTGTTTGGTCCTGACGGTAGATTTGTTCATTTGCAGCCGTCTCCTCTTTTTCTGGCAAAGAATGAGATTGGTGCTTTCTGGAGGATCCTTGGGTTGTTGATGCTTGGTTTGTCAGGCCGGGGATGCATCATGTGTTGTGTCTGGTGGCGGCTCTTTGCTGATATTTGCAAGCCACAGGCTCTGTGGCGTGGGATGCGCTTTAGGTTGATCCGGTTTCCCTTCTTCCTTTTTCCAGGGTTTGGGTCTCCCAGGTTGTCCTCAGGGTTATTCGGTCCAGCTAGCCTGCAGTCTATCCCCGAGCCCACGACATTTGTAAGTTTGCTGCTCTTGCCGCTGTTTTTGGTAATATGCCCTGGGTTGATGTTCCTAGGCCTAGTCAGGCCTGTGTCACTTTGGGTCGGCGGTTGTAGGCAGTTCTCTTGACTTCAAGTTGAGGAATGACCAGCGACTGCCTCCCGGGTAAATCCCTCTGTTTTTTCATCTTTTGGCAGGTAGCTCTGGGGAGCCGACAGGGCTCCCCCCAGAAAACCAGCGTTGAATGTAATGAAACGCCATTTTCTGGGTGAGACCCAGTGGCTCCCCAGCAGCCCTCCCCCCCCCTGGTTGGCGGTTTTTCGCATGTTTTGATATCCAGCCTCAGAACTGGGGTGTGGATTGCTGGCGAGGGGAGTCTGGGGCTCCCCCTTCCCTCTCCCAGGGAGGGGGGAGCTGCGCAGACAGCGGCGTGGGGACGTGTGACGTCATACTCATTTCTGTTTGGGGAGTTCTATTCACTTGTTTGGCTTTTTGTAGCAATTTTCACCAGAATAGGGGTTTGTTTTGGGACACTCACCTTTCTGGGTGCCTGACCCGGTCGATCGCAGACATAGAATGCTTTCAACTACACGGGGGATTTCTACAGGCTATTGATACTCATGCCTCTCTGAGGGGACCAGGATCTGGCTTGTGGGTCCCTGGTAAGCCCACAGAACTCTATACACATGACTGAAGCCAAAGTTTGACATTAGCATATCAGCCTGGATAGCTCCGGGGAGCCTCCGGGTCTCACCCAGAAAAGGGGGTTTTATTACATTCAAAGCTGGTTTTTTAGGGGAGATTTATTTTTCTTCTTTGTTTATTATCTGATTTTGTTGAAACGTCTTACATCTTGGAGAGTGCATACTCGTCCCTAAATATGTGAAGATAGAATTAAATTGTTTAACAAATAAATCAGTCATAAGTGGCAGAACTTGGGACTTAGAATTTTTTTGGCTGATTTTTCACAAATTTCAAACTCTATTTTCTTCATCTCTTTAAGTTGTTTTGATGATTAGGGACCAGATTAGGGCTTTTTCACTTATATAAAGTATACATCTTTATCCCCTAAATAATTATAATTATCCCTATTTTTTTTTTTACGGGGGTGGGGGGGGAGTATTTTTTCTTGACTTCATTTCAACACATATTGACCTACGAATGCCAAACAATGTTTATTAAAACATACAAGTAAATTAATTAATTAGAACTACCTTATACATTGTCGATAACTTCAACTTCAATTTTCTCTAAAACTAGAGTTTGAACTTTGAGTCAGTTTAAAAAAAATCCAGTTTCTGACCGATTCTCACAATTTTTACATATAGTGTGCGCAGCTGTTTTACAATCTTATTAGAATAGATTTTTCATAACCCCTATATGTTTGGAGTTATAAATTTTGTGGTCTGAATTTGGTGCATATTTCAAATGCCATAATGACGATTCTTTTTTTACAGTAAACTAAACTGAAAATCTATATTCTAAATCTATTAAAATGAAGATCCTATACTATTCTCAGAGAATAATAACACTTAATGAACAATTAGTGATATTTAATATTTTTTGCAGCTGATCTGAAAATCTGAAATTTTCAATATTAAATTTTATAATTATTTTTAATTTTCTGGCTTTTTAAGTTACATTGGTAATCATTTAGACACAGTTGAACTAACATCAATGCAGAACGCAAACGGCGGCTCCACCAGCACCGCACAATATGAGGCAACAGTATTCGGCATAAGATGACGGTTCCGAAATAACCATGAAAGGAAGGACAAGACAACCTTATCAGAGACAGAAGTAAACCTACAAAGAGATAAGAAATAATGGAAGGACCGCCAGGACACATCATACTGCCGCCGAGACAAAGCACCAGGTGGGACACCACCAACGAAGCCACCTGCTCACCATTTAAGTGGTGATAGACTCCAGTCAGAAAGACAGCACCACACCACAAGGCACAGAACTGGAAACACAGGAGCCAGAGGTGCACGACCTTGCCGGCTCACATCAGCCACAGAATTGCAGGGTGGATAGCCAGCGTTGGGGTATGGGGCTCCCCCTTCCCCCTCCTGGGGAGGGGGGGTTGCACAGACAGCGACACGGCGACGTGGTGACGTCATGCTCGTTTGTTATTTTCATTTGGGAAGTTCTGTCTACTAGTTTGGTTTTCAGTAGCAATATTTTAACCAGAATAGGGGTTTGTTTTGTTGTGCTTACCTTTCTGGGTGCCTGACCCGGTCGATGGCAGACATAGAATGCTTCCAACCACACGGGGGCTTTTATAGGCCATTGCTCCTCGTGCGTCTCTGAGGGGGCTAGGTTCTGGCTTGTGGTCCCCATTAGGCCTAGAACTTCATGCGCATTGACTGATGCCAGGGTCTAATATCAGCCCGGTTAGCTTTGGGGAGCCGAAGGGGCTTCCCCCAGAAAAGATATCATTTGTGGCATATGTGAGTCTGGTTAACATCAAAACTGTCTTTAGAAATTTGTGTAAGGATTCATTTAGAACCTTGTATACCACATGTCAGAAATATCCTGGAGACTGTGGCTCTAGTGTGGAGTCCATACTTATTCAAGCACAAGATGAAGTTGGAGAAGGTTCAAAGGTATGCCACTAGACTGGTTCCAGAACTATGAGGCATGAGTCATGAATAAGGACTACATGAATTGAACTGCACATTGTCGGAAGACAGAAGAGTTAGGGGAAGTATGATTATCACGTACAAAATTCTCAGGTAACTGATGAGGGTAGATAAAGGCAGATGATTTAACACGGATGGTACTAACACAAGGGAACACAGGTGGAAACCAAGTACCCAAATGATCTACAGACACACTAGAAAGAATTTCTCATTGTCAGCATAGTTAACAAGTGGAATGGACTAGGAAGTGACATGGTGGATGCAGACACTATACACATTTCCAAATGTGGGTATGATAGAACCCAATAAGCTCAGGAACCTGGACATCAGGGACCAAAGAGCTGAAGCCCAACCCCCCATAAGCACAATCAGGAGAGTACACGGGAGTATGTGAGGTGGATTAATTCAATGAACGCTTTAATGAGAATGGTTCTGGAGCTTGGTGCAGGTCTGTGTGAGCAGTCAGTGGGGCCAACTGGAAGTTAACGAGAGTCCTCATTGGCAATTACCAGTGAGGGCAAGGAATAGTTTGGAGGAGTTGGGTATTTATGAAATGACATCTGTTAGTCATTCTGGACAATGATGAAGATTCTGAAAAGGGATGAAGATTCTTGGCAAGGATGAAGATTCTGAGTAGGGATGATGATTCTGGGTAGGGACGAAGATTCTGGGCAAGGATGAAGATTCTGGGTAGGAATGAAGATTCTGGGTAGGGATGAAGATTCTGGGCAAGGATGAACATTCTGGGTAGGAATGAACATTCTGGGTAGGGATGAAGATTCTGGGCAAGGATGAAGATTCTGGGTAGGAATGAAGATTCTGAGTAGGAATGAAGATTCTGGGTAGGGACGAAGATTCTGGGCAAGGATGAACATTCTGGGTAGGAAGGAACATTCTGGGTAGGGATGAAGATTCTGGGCAAGGATGAACATTCTGGGTAGGAATGAACATTCTGGGTAGGGATGAAGATTCTGGGCAAGGATGAACATTCTGGGTAGGAATGAACATTCTGGGTAGGGACGAAGATTCTGGGCAAGGATGAAGATTCTGGGTAGGAATGAAGATTCTGGGTAGGGATGAAGATTCTGGGCAAGGATGAACATTCTGGGTAGGAATGAACATTCTGGGCCAGAATGAACATTCTAGGTAGAGATGAAGATTTTGGGCAAGGATGAACAATCTGGACAGAGATGAACATTCTGGACAAGGATGAACATTCTGGACAGAGATGAACATTCTGGGCAAGGATGAACATTCTGGGTAGGGATGAACATTCTCAGCAAGTATGAACATTCTGAACAGTATTACAAAGAACCAGCACGAGAGCACACTGTCTAGTAGATCAACGAACACGTGGCACTGGCTAATTTCTAGTTTAGGCCATCAACCAGCAAACAACTGAAATTCAGATTGTCATCATTATTCCCTACCAAATTGTTATGTATTCTCTTCGCATATTTGTTACAGTCAACTTTTTAACAGGTTAAATAAAACTCACCTTGTTTAACATTAAAGAAGTCCTCGTTTATGTAGTCCTCTGAGGTTTTATACATGTGAATTAACTGAAAGTATGAAAATATAAATTTAGTATTAATCACCAAATGTATGGACACATGTTTACTGAACTGATCCATGAAATACACAGTGTTCAGTTCTTGCACCAGTAATGTTCTTCATCTACATAAATGAGCATTATATGACAATGAGCATTTTCAGAGCATTATATGACAATGAATGCTGAAAAGACGGCACATCATGTGCGTAGCCCTCATCCTGTAACTATACTTAGGTAATTGCTTAGGTAATTTTATACACACATATTATACACAATGTATTATTACTTTCAGTAAACTAGACACACTATATTATGCAGTAGTGCCTTATTTGATGGGAGCGAACTATCATCTAATGGTTGCCTTATATATGACTAAATTAAAAAGAAAGCCTTCTCACTTACTTTTGGGGGAGTTTCCAATTTTGGTAGTATTGGTCGTATTCCAGTTCTTTTTTCAGCAATATTATGTGTTTTTCTGTCACGCTTATTCTTCTTAAATGTGGTCTCTTTTTCATCTGCTGACGTTGTCACAGACTGGTCATCAACTTGGGTGTTATTATCCTTAAGTTTATTTTTCTTCTTCCCACCACGAAGTTTTTCTGTCCCTTCATTGCGTTTCTTTCCCTTCTATAAAAAGTGATTAGTTATGTAATGCATAGTACAGTATTCTTATTTACTTACCATGTATCATAAATGGAGGTCTACACACATATAACTCATTTACACATTACCTCAGTCACCTAACCAATATTTACCCGACTCACTATACATAGATACCAACAGTACTGTATATCAAGCAACCAGAGTTGAATGTAATGAAACACCATTTTCTAGGTGAGCCCTGGACGATTCCTAGAGCTATCAGGCTGATATGTGTTATATTAGTCTGGGGCATCAGTCAATTGGAGTTGAACCTACCGGGGACCACAAGACAGAACCTGGGCCCCCTCAGAGAGGCAAAGGGAGCAATAACCTATGGAAACCCCCATGTATTTGTAGGCATTCCATGTCTGCCATTGACCAGGGTTGCCACCCAATAAGGTAGACATAGCAAAACAGACCCCACATAGCAAGAAAATTGCAACCAAAGACCGAACCGAGAGACAGAACTCACCCTACTTAAAGAAACACAGCAAATGCCACACTCTCTGTGACACACACAGCTTGTCCATGCAGCCCTCCCCTCCCCCTCCAGGGGAGGGGGGAGCCCCAGAGCCCCTGTACTGGATACCCAACAACTCCAGTTTGGAGGCTGAACATCAGAACCCACACGAAAAAACGCTGACCAGAGGGAGGGAGGGTGCCAGAGAGTCTCCAGGGTTCACCCAGAAAATTATGTTTCATTACAGTTAATGCTGGTTTTCTGTGGGGAGCCCCTCTGGCTCCCTGGAGCTACCTAACCAAAGACAAGTAAATGAGGGACTTACCTGGGAGGCGGCCGCGAATCATTCTTCATCTCGAAGTCGAGACAACTGGCTGCAACCTGCGGCCCAAAACCACACACACACAGGCGACTAGGACCAAGAACGTTGACTAGATAACGAGCGGCCAGGACCCTATTCGACCTCCAAAACTCCGGCTCCTGAATGTCAGCCAAGACATTTTGCCGAAGATGGCAGCCATAGCAGCATACTTACGAACATCATGGGTACAAGGATAGACTGCGGGCTTGCTAGACTTAATAACCCTGCGGACGACCTGGGAGACCCGAGCCTTGGAACAAGGAACAAGAGAAACTGGATCAACCCAAAGTGCATCCCCGGCCGCCGAGGCCGAGGTGCCCAAATAACAGTGAAGAGCTGCAACCGCACACAACACATGATGCACCACCAGCCGGACCAATCAAGCATCAATGACCCAAGAGCCCCTCTGGAAAGTTGTCATCTCATTCTTCGCCAGAAAAGAAGTAGACAGCAGCAACTAAACAAACCGACCACCAGGACTGAAAAAGCAGAAATCCCTGTGCTGAAGGAGAGCATGAAGCTCACCCACCCGACCCCCAGAGGCCAATGCCAACAGAAAAAGAGCCTCGGAAAAACAATCTTGAACCGAAGGGGCCACCACAAACCGAGAAGAGATAGGAGAGCACCCTATCCAAGGACCAGGATGACTCAGGCAATGCATGAGCAGGCCGAAGGTGAAACAAAGCACGAGAAAGCTTACAGACCAGGGCAGAAGTGATATCTACCCTGAACACAAGCTGGAGCAGCTCTGCCAGTGCCATATGATACGAGCAGAAAGTATACGGCATCAAATGACGGTCCTGAAAATGCCAAGACAGAAAGGACAATACAACTTGATCAGAAATAGAAGACAATTTACAAAGAGAAAGAAAATGGCAGAAAGAACACTAGTACACTTCATACTGTCGCCGAGATGAAGCTCTCAGGTGGGACATAATCAACGAAGCCACCTGATCACCATACAAATGGTGATAAACCTGCGTAAAAAGAGACCAGATGTGAAGAGCAGAGAAGACCGAACCAGTTGTGTACTAGACCGGTCCGACCTGCTGGGGAAGAGGCAGAGTAGCAGAAAACGCCCCTGGTTCGTACACCGAGCACGCAGCGTCTGGAACCAAGGCTGGGCCGGCCACCCAGAGGCCACGAGGACCACTCTCCCTTGGTAGGACTTCAACCGAGTCAGAACCCGAAGCAACAGCTGGACAGAGGGGAACGAAGTACAGGTAACCCCACCTCGACCAGTCCTGCCAAAAGGAGTCTACAGCGACAGCCTTGCAGTAAGGAAGGGCGCCACATACATCGGGAGATGCCAAGACCACGCCAATGCGAAGTGGTCCATGTCCAGGAGTCCATACGTCCAGCAGAGCCGTATGGACGGTCAACGCTGACGGAAGGAGTCGGTGTTGACCGTCCATTCCCTGGATAGGGGAATGGACTGAGACAGGCCATCCGACAGGATGTTGGATGTCCTGTCCATGTGGTTCTCATCTTCCCGGATGAGAACCACATGCAGACCCAAACCCTGAGAAGCCAGCAGACAAGCCACTCAAAGCAACCAGCCCCAAAGAGGCAAGGACCGAAAGGAACCACACGGAGAGGCAAGGACCGAAAGGAACCACACGGAGAGCCAAACCCTGAGAAGCCAGCAGACAAGCTACTTGAAACAACCAGCCCCAAAGAGGCAAGGACCGAAGGGAACCCCTGCGGATCAGGCAATGAACCACCAGAAAACAGTCCGAATGGTGCCGAACGGTCGAACCCCAAGCGACCCGAACCCCCCAAAGTGACAGCCAAACCACCGTAAACTCCCACGTCGTGCTGTGAGCCCGACGGAAGGATGGACCCCACTGCCCCTGGTTGGCCTGGTGAGCACTAGTCACAAAGCCCCAGCCTTGGGCTTGGGTAGGTGCCAAGGCACTGAACCCCGAAAACCCCGAAGAGGAAGCGGACAAAACAGCAACCGACGCAGGGCCCGCGGAGTACGAACCCATCAATTGCGAGAGAAGCGTAAGGGGCGTCCCAAAAGGAACCAAAACAGATGCTGAGGCCAAACACGACCCAGTGAGTAGACCAGCATGGCAAAATTCAAACTCCCATACAACTGATCAAGCAACCACCAAGTGACCCGGGGCCTCCGCAGAAACAGCTGAAGGAAGAACCAAAGCCTCAGCAATGCCTCCGAAAGGAGAGATGTGGAAGCGGTCCGAGAGTCCCAAACAAGACCCAGCCAGGTCCGACCCTATCTTGAGGTTATCTTGAGATGATTTTGGGGCTTTTTAGTGTCCCCGCGGCCCGGTCTTCGACCAGGCCTCCACCCCCAGGAAGCAGCCCGTGACAGCTGACTAACACCCAGGTACCTATTTTACTGCTAGGTAACAGGGGCATAGGGTGAAAGAAACTCTGCCCATTGTTTCTCGCCGGCGCCTGGGATCAAACCCAGGACCACAAGTCCAGCATGCTATCTGCTTGGCCAACCGGCTCCCGAGAGTCGGGAGATGACGCATCTGTGAACACATCGAGCGAGGGCTTGGGTAGGTGCCAAGGCACTGAACCCCGAAAACCCCGAAGAGGAAGCAAACGAAACCCTTAGGATGGAACCAGATGGGACTTCCTCCATTTCACCAGGTACCCGAATCTGGCAAGCTGGGAAAGAACCACACCCCTGGCGAGCAGACAAGTGGACCGACTGGGAGCCCATACCAGCCACCCGTCGAGGTAGACCAGGACCCGAACTCCCCTATCTGACGCAGGTAGGTCACCCCGACCTGGGTAAGACACGTGAATACGTGAGGTACCAGATTCAAGCCAAAAGGAAGGCAATGGAAGCGGAAAACCTGACGCCCCACCACAAAACCTTACCAGTCCCTGAACCCTGGATGAATCGGAACATGCCAATATGCATCATTGAGGTCCAGGGACATCATCCTGGCACCCAGCTCCAAAAGAAGCCAGACCTGAGACAGAGTGGTCATCCAAAAGGAGGGGCAAGAAAACCAAACTGCAAACAGTAACGGACAAAACAGCGACGAAAACCTAAGAGCCAGGGCCCAAGCAGATTCCAAAGAGAGAGCGAGTACAGCCTGACGGCAAGCGAGGCGAAAAGCAAAAAACAGACACACTGCCTCTTTCAGGATAGGCGCAAACAGCCTCAACAGTGCGACCGACACCCGGGCTGCCGAGGACAGCACACCAGATGAAGGCCCAGTACCCAACGCCTCCACATCCTCCTCAAGTCAGGCCAAAGACAGCTCGAGTAAGGAAAATAAGTGCAAGACCAAAGCCAAGTGCCCTCAAGCACGCAAATCCTCGGCAGTCAAAAACGCCAAAAAGAGTAGAAACCTGCACGTGCAGCAGCACAAGGCCAACATCCTGAGAAAGCACAGGGGTGAACAAGCAAACATTACGGCACTCAAACTCAACCCCTCCATATAAACCTGCAGAATGATATAAGTTTCTTGCCACTCAAAAATGTGGGTCCAACAGAACCCATGCCACGCTCCACAATGAAAAGAATGGGCAGTCTGCCAGCCAGGAAGACTCTGGAACCTTCAAATGCACCCAATACGGGAAAGAACCAAACTCAGATGAGGACGGATCCATCATGGAGGCAGAACCCGGGTCTCGCAGGAGGTATGCAGCAAGAGCCACCTGAACCTCGCTAGGGGAGATACGAGAGGCAGAAAACCTCCAGACGGACAGGGCTGAGAAACCCAAGGGAGCCCAGAACCGAACCCGGGAAGAAGCCGACCCCAAATAAGACTCATACAGGGAAAGAAGGGTAAGAAAACCCCTTCCCCTGCAACAACAAGCCCCGCAAAAAGGGCACTAACATCCAAGCAAGGTCAAAGGGGACCTCAAGGCTCCCAGGTTGTCTCCTTCCCCAGCCCCAGGATCCACCAAGTCAGGACCCGGAGCAAAGCAGTCCTCCATACCCTCTACCCCTGAAGGCAGAAACCTGGGGAAAGGTTGAAAAGAAGGGGGGACCTGGTGGTGGGACCCAGAAGTCTCGAAAGGAGGAACCAGCTAGAATGCCTCCGCCCCAACCCAAATGAGACAGCCTCTGAAGCTGCCCCAAGTCTCGTTACCAACTAAACCCTGCCCCGACTCCGAAACCCTCAGATATTTGGGAGCTGGAAGCAGAGGAGGAGGTAGGGGAACAAGGTGAACCACAGGGAAATGACTAGGGAGCGTGGACTGAACCAAAGTCAAAACTACTAACGCCCCCAGGTCCGGGGGCCCTATAACCAAAGCGGGGCAGCCTCAAGGTATCCAGGAGAGAAACCAATCTAGCGCATTGCAGCAACCAAAACCTAGCATGCAATGCAGATGCTGCCTGCACCCTAATGTTAATGTCATCAGAATAGTACTGGAGATCAAGCAGAGAACATGACTCGCAAGACACTGGGTCAAAGGTGTCGTTGACCCAACAGGCAGTATGACGGTGGCAAAAGAGGTGACTGTCACCCTGAGACAAGGGTAATTGTAACTACACTTAGGTACTTGTGTATACTATATACCACAACTATATTCTACCCACCTCAAGACTCCGCTCCAATATAGAAGCATCAAGAAATATGGACCAATAGGCTTTCTACAATCACTTCCATTCAATACCCATTGTTTCGTGTTCTGTCTTGTGTTTAGGAATTTAATACCCTATTAATACCACCTCACCCCATCCACCTCACTCAAATGTAGATATAAAACACACAACCAAATCATCGCCAGAGAAATCCTAGTAAACAGCACAGAAATCATCGATAGATACAGCGATAGCAGGCGGCTTGACGTTTGCGAGGCACTACACATCAAGAAGTCAACACCAGCAATCAACAGCCAATTATTGCACAACTATATTCTACCCACCTCAAGACTCTGCTCCAATATAGAAGCATCAAGAAATATGGACCAATAGGCTTTCTACAAACACTTCTATTCAATATCCATTGTTTCGTGTTCTGTCTTGTGTTGATGAAATTAATACCCTATTAATACCACTTCTTGTTCTGTCTTGTGTTGATGAAATTAATACCCTATTAATGCCACATCTTGTTCTGTCTTGTGTTAATGCCACATCACCCCTTCCACCTCACTCAAATGTAGATATAAAATCGGAGATGCGTAAGTTCTATTCAGTTGTGTATTTGTGAACTAAAGTCTTTGAAAATGTAATAAGTTTTACGAAACGCGCTCGTGTCGCGTCAGACTAGAAATAAAAATGAATTTTGGAGAATTGATTTTTGATTTACCTCCAACAGTGAAAAGAAATGTACGAAAGATTGAGAAAATTCGTGTTAGAATTATTAATCTTACTTTTTCGGTCATATTTAATATATATATATATATATATATATATATATATATATATATATATATGTGTGTGTGTGTGTGTGAGAAAGCTGTATGAACGTGCAAGCCATAGATCACTAAGAACTCTTTGACCCGGCCAGGATTCGAACCCATGCCATCTAGGATCACCCCTAAACGTACACAGTACCATGACCACCGATCGTCTGGTGCGGTGGTCACGGTACTGTGTACGTTTAGGGGTGATCCTAGACGGTTCGAATCCTGGCCGGGTCAAAGAGTTCTTAGTGATTATATATATAAATATATATATATATATATATATATATATATATATATATATATATATATATATATATATATATATATATATATATATATATATATATATAAGGGCTGATTTTATATAAAATATGTCATACCCTAGTAGCCTGAACGCACTTCTCGGCCTACTATGCAAGACCCGGCTTGCCTAATAGGCCAAGTGATTTTCTTTATTTGCAATAAATTGTTTCCAATTAGTTTATTTAAATTATTACTATTATATTATATTAAGAACAGAAATTATTGACTTAATTGCGTTAGTTTAGGTTAAGATAGGTTAGGTTAGGTAGGGTTGGCTAGGTTCGGTCATATATCTACGTTAGTTTTAACTCAAATTCAAACAAATTAACCTATATATAATGAAATGAACAGATTTATCATTTCACAAGAAAAAATTTGGAAAAATATATAAATTCAGGAAAACTTGGCTTATTAGGCAAGTCAGGCCTTGCATAGTAGGCCAAGTATGACATTCTGGCTATTAGGTACAACACACTTATATATATACATATATAAATCAAACCAGGGATCCCCAATTGTAAGTCAAGAATGATGCCAACGGTGCTATGATACTCCTTCCTTTATGTACAATAAATGCCAACACTCACCAGTGGTATTTTGGAAGGTGTGAAACTTTTTTCGACAGTCTGAGATATGTCTTCAGAAGCCTTCTTAAAGAGGTCTTGCAGTGATACTTGCATCTTGTCATTGGACCTCTTCTTTATCATCTTCTCCTGAACTTTGTAAACATTTATTATATCTTTCTGAGTTACAAAGCTTCTCTGCTCAAGAAAGCGAAGATAAAGCTCACCGTACCGTATTCCCTCATCCATGGATATCTTCTCCTGGGTCATATCACTGTCGCTATCACTGTCATCACTCTCCAAAGGTTTTGAGTTTAATGCAAGATTACTAACTTCTTCTTCAGTTAGTTGACACATTATTGGAATGTTGTCATCACAGTTCATCCATGTCACAATGTCAATCTCCTTCAAGTTTTGGGTATAGTTCCTGTTCATGTCTTTAGCATATTGTAGCAAATCTTCTATTTGTGACTTCTCGCTGGAAACATTGAATCCTTGATTCTCCACTGGTTGACCATTATCACCAAGCATCAAGTCAGGCCACAAATTGTGCCAAGAGTTTTTCAAGGTAGACTGTAGTACATTATCCCAAGCACAAGCAACAGCCCAAAGGGCAGCCTTAATGGTGAATGCCTCCTTAAACGCTTCCACATCACAAGCATCAGTGCAAGAACTCACCAGATGTCTCATAAACTCATTTCTATAGTTGCACTTCATATTGCGAATAATGCCCTGATCTTTTGGCTGAAGAAGTGAAGTACAATTAGGGGGTAAGTAGGTGACAAAGACATTGTGAGACACTAAATGGTCCACATTAGGACGAGCTAAACAATTGTTCATGAAGAGAACAATCTTGCAATTCTCTGGCAGGCCCACTTTGCGACAATGAACACGAGCCTCAAACGCAAAGTTATCAAACCATTCACTAGTGATTTCCCGAGTTATCCAGGTCAGTTTATTGGAACTATAATGAACGGGCAAATTCTTAACCCCCTTCAAGGCACGCTTGTTAATGCTGTTCCCAACCACAAGCAATTTACATTTGTGTGTGCCTGCAGCATTTGCACAGGTAAGAAAGGTAATTCTCTCCTTTGGATCTTTGATGCCAGATGCTACTCTTTGCTCAACACCAGTGAGCATGTTACGAGGCAAGTACCTCCATAAGAGGCCCGCTTCGTGTGCACTGTACATTTGTTCGGGAGTTAGATTTTCAGCCCTCACCAAATTATACATTTCACTGATGTACTTGTCTGCAACTTCTCTATCAGCAGCCACTCTATCAGCTGCCTCTCTTTCAGTAGACAGTTTTTCACAATAGGTTTTTAAATGACGAATACCATGCCGATGTTTAAACTTATGTAACCATCCTGAGGAAAACTTACATGGTTCACTAATATTTAAGGCATTATATATCTGTTTGGCCTTTTCAATTAACATTGGCCCAGAAACTGAAACACCTTCCCTACGCTGTTGCCGGAGCCACTCATAAACAACCTTATCATGATCATTTAAATTAGCACCATGCATACTTTTCCTCACAGTACTAACATTGTCTCCTGTGCAATCACTTTCAGTATTAAATGCCAAGAGCTTTTCACACTGTTTCTTTATTTCATAAATGGTAGACAAACCTACACCATACTCCACACACAAATTTTTCATTAGTTCACCTTTCTGAATTTTGTGTAAAATTTCAAATTTTTGGCCTATTGTTAGGGAATTACGCTTGCGTTTCACAATACTCCCATCACCACACCCACCACTCAACAGTGATTTATTGTGGGAAGCCATTAGTAGAAGAAAAAAAAAACTCCAATGAAATTATCTGGGCCACACTGCTGCCACACCATCTATTACCAAAAGCTGCAAAACCGGGAACTACAACAGGCTTCTCTGGATTTTGGAAGATGCCCCAAATATTGGATACATTTTAATACTGTGGTGTATTTCAAATTCTTTTCCACTTTTTCGGATTTGCCAGTTATTAGACTTCATGATTTATGACACTTCACAGTACTGGTAGCACTGAAAGAGAGTAAAATCAATAAAATATTAGATCAAACTTGAAAAGCAAAAAAATGAAAATAAAATATTAGTAAAAATATAAAATTTTTGTCAAATGTGTGAAATACATTTGAAATGCTTTTGTTGCTGGGAAGCAGTACCTTCCCAGACACCTCGTGCGTAAGTACACTGTGACGTACAGTTCAAGTATTCTGTTATAGACAGTTTAATTAATAATAATAATAATTTGTTTTGCCAGGAACAGGCAACCTGTATATACACATTTGGCCTATATCAAGGTCCCTCCAAGGTTGCCCTATTGATCTTCCCCAGGATGCAATGCCACAACAGTTGCATAACTCTCGGGTACCTATATACTGTGAGGTAAACAGTGTATACACATAATAGAGCATTAAGTATAATGAAATGCCGATTTCTAGGTAACAACTCAATATGTCCCCAGAATTTATAGAACTAATACCCTCAGGGCACCCCAACAATGCCAAGCCCCCCTGGGACAATCTCAGCCCATCAGAAGAATAGATCAAATTATTTCCCCCCTTAAAGTGGAAAGGAAGATGTGTGAAACAAAGATGAATCCACTACTATGGTGAACTACTCAACATTATGCAAACATATCATTAATATTCTAATTGTAATTACTGTAGATCTGTTAAATATTAAATCAAGCATACAATATATTCAGCTGTATAAACCTATAAGTCTCAGCAAATGTCCTGTATGTATAATAATGATAAAACGATAATGATCACAAACTCCTAATGTGACCATTTAACAATAATAATTAATTTTGTTGGGGATAGGAAGCCTGTGTATGTAATTCCTAAGTGTAATTACCTAAGTGTAGTTACAGGATAAGAACTACTCTTGTGGTGTCCCATCCTCCCAGCACTCTTTTTGTCATATAACGCATTGAAATTACTGACAGTTTTGGCCTCCACCACCTTTCGAAAAAGTTAGGTTAGGTAGGTTAGGTAGTCGAAAAACAATTAATTCATGTAAACTTGGCTTATTAGGCAAATCGGGCCTTGCATAGTAGGCAGAGAAGTGCGTTCTGGCTACTAGGTACGACATATATATATATATATATATATATATATATATATATATATATATATATATATATATATATATATATATATATATATGGCACAACTCTCCTAAACACGAGAGTGAAGTATACAACTTTAGAACACTTTCCCACCAGGAGAATCGAACCCTAGCCAGCACAGAAGCCTTCCAGCAACTGGCATAACAGGTACGCCTTAACCCGCTCCACCACCTGCTCAGACCCTTAAAAGAGATGGTAATTTCGGAGTATTTAAATACACCAAAGATCACCACCTCCCAAGAGCACTAGAGCAAGTGAGGGGTCATTTATACGTTTATTTCATCAAGTCCCTGTTAATATGGGAAGACACAGTGTCTATGCTTAAGGCACAACTCTCCTAAACACGAGAGTGAAGTATACAACTTTAGAACACTTTCCCACCAGGAGACTCGAACCCTAGCCAGCACAGAAGCCTTCCAGCAACTGGCATAACAGGTACGCCTTAACCCGCTCCACCACCTGCTCAGACCCTTAAAAGAGATGGTAATTTCGGAGTATTTAAATACACCAAAGATCACCACCCCCCAAGAGCACTAGAGCAAGTGAGGGGTCATTTATCAACCCGTTCTCGCAAATTCGTAAAGTCAATATTGACTTATTAACTACGTGCATAGGTGATATACTAAACATAATAGATACCCTTAAAAAGATTCATAGAAAACACCGACCTTACCTAACCTTGTTAGTATCTTAAGATAAGCATCTTATTGCTTCGTAATTACAATTATTACTTAACCTATACCTACTATAGGTTAGGTAATAATTGTAATTACGAAGCAATAAGATGCTTATCTTAAGATACTAACAAGGTTAGGTAAGGTCGGTGTTTTCTATGAATCTTTTTAAGGGTATCTATTATGTTAAGTATGTCACCTATGCACATATTTAATAAGTCAATATTGACTTATTAAATTTGCGAGAACGGGTTGCATTTATACGTTTATTTCATCAAGTCCCTGTTAATATGGGAAGACACAGTGTCTATGCTTAAGGCACAACTCTCCTAAACACGAGAGTGAAGTATACAACTTTAGAACACTTTCCCACCAGGAGACTCGAACACTTTCCCACCAGGAGACTCGAACCCTAGCCAGCACAGAAGCCTTCCAGCAACTGGCATAACAGGTACGCCTTAACCCGCTCCACCACCTGCTCAGACCCTTAAAAGAGATGGTAATTTCGGAGTATTTAAATACACCAAAGATCACCACCTCCCAAGAGCACTAGAGCAAGTGAGGGGTCATTTATACGTTTATTTCATCAAGTCCCTGTTAATATGGGAAGACACAGTGTCTATGCTTAAGGCACAACTCTCCTAAACACGAGAGTGAAGTATACAACTTTAGAACACTTTCCCACCAGGAGACTCGAACCCTAGCCAGCACAGAAGCCTTCCAGCAACTGGCATAACAGGTACGCCTTAACCCGCTCCACCACCTGCTCAGACCCTTAAAAGAGATGGTAATTTCGGAGTATTTAAATACACCAAAGATCACCACCTCCCAAGAGCACTACAGCAAGTGAGGGGTCATTTATACGTTTATTTCATCAAGTCCCTGTTAATATGGGAAGACACAGTGTCTATGCTTAAGGCACAACTCTCCTAAACACGAGAGTGAAGTATACAACTTTAGAATCGGGCCTTGAATAGTAGGCTGAGAAGTGAGTTCTGGCTACTAGGTACGACATTATATATATATATATATATATATATATATATATATATATATATATATATATATATATATATATATATATATATATATATATATATATATATATATATACATATATATATATATATATATATTTATTAATTTACTTACTTTGGTAGCATTCTTTCTTGTAAACATATGTTGTTGAATATGACCGAAAGGGTAAGATTAACACTTTCGTTCACCGGGCACGTAAGCCCCGCACTACCCCAGGTGGGTTTCAGTGTTTCATGGGAGCGCGCGGTAATTCTGAAAAGTGTATACTCTTTTTCAACTTTGTCACCTCAATTCTCGTCCTAAGATATTCAATTTGGTATCAATGTGTTTGCAATAGAATTCTCTACAGGACTAAATGCATATAAACTCCAAAAGCCCGGCTTACCACCTGCAGCAAACAGAGAAAGTGAGAGCGAGTTACCTGGGAGCGCACAACAGCAATAAAATGCGTACACTCTTTTCACTTTGGTTACCTCAATTCTCATTCTAGGTCTTTCATTTTGGTATCAATGTGTTCGCAATAGAATTTCCAACAGAAGTATATGCATATAATGTAAAAAACCGCAGCGCGCTCCACACGCCGACAAGATGAAAGTGGACCAGAAAGAGAGCGCTGCGCCACCCCAAGGCACCTCTCATTACATTAGAAAGCGCGGTAATACTGAAAAGTGTATACTCTTTTCAACTTTGTCATCTCAATTCTTGTCCTAGGTTTTTCAATTTGGTATGAATGTGTTTGAAATAGAGTTCTCTACAGGAATAAATGCATTAAAAAAAAAAAAATCCCGGCGAGAAAGCGAGAGCGTGTTACCCGGGAGCGGGCAAGAGCAATAAAATGTGTATACTCCCTTCACTTTGGACATCTCAATTCTCGTCTTAACACTTTCGCGCTATCTGAACGCGCCGGCGCGTCCGGTTTCGTCTAACGTAAACGCATAGTGGACATAAAGTTATGTCAACTTTTAAAATATTTGTATAAAATTCAATTTTTATCCGATTTACTTTGGGTTTGTTTTAAACTGCGCGCTATGAGGCTCTCTTTCTCACCACTAGGCTGCATGGTACAATAAGTTCATGAAAGGTGTGGATAACTTCGATCAAATGGTATTTTGTCCCAAACGGGTTGCAGGTGGGTGACTTTAGCCGTTTATACTGGTAATGCTTCCCCCATATCATGTATTATATGCATATGTCTGTTTAGGGAATTTTATTCCGATCAATATACAACCAAAAATAACTGTGTGCATCAAGTATAAACTTGACAAACATAACAAAAGTAAAAACATTTCGTGTGTGTTTGACGCTCACTGATATGTTCCAGCGTTGTTTTATATTTGGCGCTATTCTAACTTACGCTTTGTTGATATTTTTTACCTATGGGCACATAGAACATTCTATTGCGAACACATTGACGCAAAAATGAATGACGTACATAGAAAATTAATGTCATGAGAGTGAAATAAGTATAAACTTTCAAAGCGCCGTGCGTCGTCCCGTCACCGATACCGGGTAACAATTTCACCAGTTCCCACACTCTTGCGGGCGGGCCGCAATCATTATTCTACGCTTATATTCATATCACCGTGTTGGGAATTTCATTGCGAATCCATTGATACCAAAATTAACGCTGTAGAACAAGTGTGGAGGTGATTACAATCCCAAGAGTAAAAACATTTTGTTGCTGATGGGCGCTCACGGCGAGTCATCTTCGTAGTTATTTATTTGGTGCTGGTATCCCTATACGTTTCGTGACTTTTTTTACTGATGTTCTTCTAGAGAATTTTATTGCGAACACGTTGGTACCAAAATGAAATACGTAGCATGAGAACTAAGGTCAGAAGAGTAAAAAGAGTATACACATTTTTGTTTTTACGCTTAAGCGATAAAAACGCAGCGCGCACATTCGGTTGGCTGAGTGACCTTTGCGGAGAGCGCGAAAGTGTTAATAATTCTAACACGAATCTTCTCAATATTTCTTACGTTTTTCTTCAATGTCGAAGGTAATTGAAAAATTAGCTCTCCAAAATTCATTTTTTACATTTTTATTTTTGGTCTGATGCCTAAAAGCATTTGGCAAGGGCTTCTTACATTCTCAAAGACTGGTTTACACGTATCGTGTATCATGCTTATATTCGTTTTGGGTGAGGTGATATGACACAAATGTTTTGGGTGAGGTG